GCATCCTCAAATACCACAGAAATCAATAATTTTATATTCTGATACAATTAGGAAAAGGGCATTTCAAAGGCACCTGCTTTCTGAATGTTGATTAACATTCAAAGTTTGCATCTTGACAGTCTGGTTTAAGTGAGGCCAACAACTTCTTGGGGTTAGCTAGACCACAGAACTTCTTCCATTAAGGGTTGAAGGTGCCATGCTTCTGGTATTTCATCAACTCATGTAGTCCTTTATATAAACAAGTCTTTAGAGTAGTGAAATCAGTTGCAGGTACCTTCAAGCATCAAGCAATTTTTTTTTTTTTTTTTGTTACTAACAATGTTCAGCTCCAAAGGTTCAGGAACTCCCAATCAGCCCCATATTGCTGTCTTCCCATGTGCCGGAATCGGCCACCTGACTCCGTTCCTCCGCCTTGCTTCCATCCTCCTTTCTCAAAACTGTGAAGTTACTCTCATCACCGCCAAGCCAACAGTATCACTTTCCGAGTCAATGAACATCTCTTTCTTCCTTTCTACACATCCTGAAGTCAAGCATGTTGAGTTCCAAGTCCTTCCTTCGGAACCTCACAATAGTACAGATGATCCCTTTTTCCTTCAATTTGAAGCCGTTCGCCGCTCTATGCACCTCCTACTTCCCTTGCTGTCTGATTTATCTCCACCTCTTTCTGCCATATTTTCTGACTTCGTAGTAGCTTCTGCTGTTCATCAAATTGCTGCTGATCTTGGCCTTCCACAGTATATTTTAATAACCACATCTGCTACATTTTTTTCACTTATGGCATATCTACCCAACATGATATATGATCCTGCTAAATTTAGCAGCCTTTTAGCTGAAGTCGAGATCCCGGGACTAACACCAGTACCCGTGTCAAGCATTCCTCCTCCGATGTTTACCCCGAATCATCTTTTTACATCTATTATCTTAACGAATATTAGAGCTTTCCAAGAAGTCAAAGGAATTCTAATGAATACCTTTCACTGGTTTGAACCAGAAGCACTATCTTTTCTCAACAATTATAAAGCTCTTGGTAGTTTCCCACCTGTTCTCCCTGTTGGACCCTTAGTGCCTTATGAGCTTGGGGGAGAACAGAGCCAGTATCTAGAATGGTTGGACAACCAGCCAACAGAATCAGTGGTTTATGTAAGCTTTGGAAGCAGAACATCAATCTCAAAGGAGCAGATGATAGAACTCGGAGATGCACTGGACAGAAGTGAATATCGATTCCTGTGGGTGATCAAGGGCAGAAAAGTTGATTATGATGATAAAGAAAGTCTAGAGGACTTAGTAAGTCATTCATTTCTTGAAAGAACAAAGAACAGGGGGATGGTAGTGAAAGGTTGGGTAAAGCAACAAGAGATTCTGGCACATCCTGCCATAGGAGGCTTTGTTAGTCACTGCGGGTGGAACTCAGTGACGGAAGCGGCTCAGCGAGGAATACCAGTGCTGGCGTGGCCTCTTCATGGTGACCAAAGAGTGAATGCAGATGTTGTGGAGAAAGCAGGCTTCGGGACATCAGAAAGAAGCTGGGGCTGGATGGGCCAGAGGCTAGTGAAGCAAGATGAGATTCAGAGAAAGATTGATGAGTTAATGAGAGATGAGAAGCTAAGGAGTAGAGCAAAAAAGGTGGGGGAAGAAGGTAAGAAGGCTGGAAACACTGGTGGGAGTTCAGAAAAGGTGATCATGGAAGTCATCGAGTTGTTAAAGCAGAACATGACGAACTAAAGTTCAAAATGTCACCGTCTTCTTTCTATTATCATGAGCTCTTTTCCTTTTTCTTGGTGGGTTAAATTGTTATCAGATTGTCTATTTATAAAAAAGAAAGGGCTTGAGCCTGCATATTTATGGGAGGAAAATATGTCAACATTGCTTTCTGCAGATGGTTTCACCTGTGAAATTCCATAGCAGAAACAGAAAAGATCTGAAGTGGAAATTCGCACGTCAAAAGAAAATACAAATTTTTTTTTGTAATGAATAAAAACAACAAGAGTGATTTCAGTGCTGATTACACTGATTAGAGCATGATAAGGGTATGTGATACTTATGAACGCTATCTAGAATTCTAGATTTAAAA